AGGTGGGAACCAAGGCTGCTGCTACCTTCGTCCCTCCTCCCCCCCTCCCCCCCCCCCCAACGGAAATGGAAGTTATTGGGATGAATTTATTTTGCTTCAGTCACTTATTCCTGGTAATTTTGCTCCCTATGTGAAGCAGTCCCACCTAAGTTCTCTTATTTTTCTTCCTCTTGCTTATCCATTAGTGTTTTGGACTACTCACCAGAATGAGCAGTTAGTGTGACTATGCAGAAGCAACACTTAATCTTTCAGTCACCTGTTCTTTCTCAGAAGTTCTGTTCTCAGAATACCAAGGTTTAGCAGAAAGAACTGAAGTAGCTGGACCTCCCAGCCTCTTATAATCAGCTTTGCATGGTCACTGCCCCAAGATGGCTGCTTGTGCACTCCCAAAAGGCCCTGAATTTCTAGAAGGGTCCCAAAGCTCAGTGGGATGGAGAGCACATCTGACAAGTGTGAATATGCAGAGCCAACATTCAATCAGATTATAGTTCCCAGTAAGTAACTTCTTTTCCTGAATCCTTTTAGTAAGTTTATGAACTTACCTCTTCTCACTAGAGGATATGGGAGCCCAGCTCCTTTAATGTAGCTTCAGCTTGGATCATTCACACTTGATACCTTGGAGAGGTTGCAGTGAAGAGGTTAAGAAGGCACCTCTCTTCTTTATAGGAAGGTGTCAGCACTGCCTGTACTTCTGCCTGGGGTCTTGAATGTGCTTTTATCATTCTCCACCTTGTATTGCAGGGGTACCCTTTGCTAAAACTTAATACTCTTACTTGTATACCATAACTACTAGCTGTAATTTCTCAACCATGAAGACCTTAGAATCTGGAGGACACTTCAAATAGATTCTAACCGTTCCAAGGTTAGTCATATTCAGGGCCTTAAGTTGATGGTCTGGTTGCTTCTCCAGAGGAAGGAGGCTAAATGTTGACCTCTCCTTTTATCCCATAGCACTATGCAGTAACTTCAGATGAGTAGGGTTGTGTATATCATAGGTGGCAGCTGCAATTCCTAAAACATGTGCAGAGTTTGCAGACTGAACTGAAGTTGTCTTTCTCTCACAGCTTTCTGAGAAAGACATGAGCATGCTGGAGGAGAGAATAAAGCGGGCTGCTAAGAGACCTGCTGCTGCTCCAGCAAGACAGGCAGAAGAGAAACCTCAGCGTGCTCCGAGCACGAATGCTAATGCTAGCGTGCTGAGGAAGGGACCGGCTGAGGACATGTCTTCCAAACTCAAGTATGTAATGAAATAGTTATGGTTTTCTATGGCTTCTGCAGTGTATGTGCTAAGAACATGTTCTGCAGCGTTACCTTAGTTCTTCTAGTCATTGTCTTTGCATGTTGTGAAAACTGTCTGGGCAAATACTGTAAAACAAAGTGTTTGTTTGAATCTCTCTTCATTGTTTTGTCTTGTCTTGTCTGTCTGTCTCTTGAATCCTTTCTAAATGGTCTTGTGCCTTCTTTCACTGCTTCTCCATGGACAGAATTATGTATCGCACTTATAGGATGTAAGTACTGTCCACTAACCTCTTGGTAGCAGGGCTCTTGTATCTTTCTAACTTCTGCCTTAATCATTCCTTCTGAGTGCCTGACTTTTTATGCTGGCCAGTTCTAGGTATTTGTAAATAACTTAGACTAAAATTACAAGAATAGAGGGCTTCTACCAAGAGCAACTACAACCCAAACTGCTAGCAGACATGGCAATTCCATGCTGGGCAGCTGCTGGAAATATTAGGAGAACTCATTCCCATGTGTTGCATTAAACTTGGTATTGATTGGAATCCATTCTTAATTTGATAGGGCCAGTGTACAGAGGCCAGCTAGATGAGCATTTTGAATCTGAGCTTGGGGCTACATACCCATACTACAAACAAAGCTTAGTAACTGTACCTTGCACCACATGTCAATGTATTTTAGATCATTCTGATTTTTGGAGAAAAGGCCCCTAGTGAAACTTACGTAATAGAGATTAGATTCCCTTTAAGTGGAACCTTCTAACATGCAAGTGTCTCAGGATCCTCGGGGAGTCCTGGATACTGACTGGCTTGTCAGGTTACCTTCTCTTAGCTGTGGTAAAGAAGACCTGAGCTTCAATAAGATGTCCCATCAATGCCATCTTTGGTGCTGGATCTCAGTCATAGGCAGAGCAGTGCATGCCTGTCACAACTTCACTGTGGTTTATAGTGGGCTGTAGGGAAAACCAGCAGCTTCTCAGGTTAACTATGAAAGCAAGTAATTGGCAGCTACTCTCCTGGCTTGCGTAAACTTTTACTGCTAACAGCTGGGGGAACTGTAAAGGGTTCAGTTAGAGGACTGAATAAAATGAGATCTGCAAAATAACAACCTTGATATGAGTGTTTAGGACTACCACTGGATGCTAGTGTTACCATGCTGGCTTAGAGTGTATAGACATAAACACCTTTCTTCTGGTTTCCATAGCCAAGCCCGCAACACGAGTGGCCATTCTGAGATAACACATACAGTTCCACGGGAATTCCAGCTGGATCTAGATGAAATTGAGAATGACAATGGCACAGTTCGATGCGAGATGCCAGCACTTGTACAGCACAAACTAGATGACATCTTTGAGCCAGTCCTCATCCCGGAACCCAAGTGAGTTTAAATGTGATCCTGCTTAGTTGAAAGCCAATTGAAACTGTCTAGAACAGAAGTGGGCAAACTACGGCTTGTGGGCCACATCTGGCCTGCGGGATCCTCCTGCCCCGGGAGGCTTGCCCCTGGCCCCTCCTCTGCAGCCTCAGCACGCTGTGGCACCGGCACAATGCTCTGAGCGGCCAGGCAGCACAGCTGCAGAGCCCGGCCTGACCCAGTGCTCTGTGCTGCGCGTGGCGTGGCCCAGCTCCAGCCGGGCAGCGCAGCTGTAGTGCCGCCAGCCACCAGTGCACCAAGCAGCACAGTTGGATAGAGGGCAGGGGAGTTTTGGGGGGGTGGTCAGGTACCCATGATCTTGCTACACAGAGGAAAAGGAAGCCTGGTCTCATGGTTAACGTATGGTCTGAGTGAGATTAGGTTGTACTCTCAGTTCTGTCCCAGGTGGCTATGTGATTAAGACACATCACTTAACATCTCTTTTCCATCCTCTGTAAATGAGAATGAAACTCTCCTCACAGGAATGTCTGTGAGGCTGGATCCTGCTTTAAGTATCTTTGAGATCTGACTGGAAGGCACCAGTGAAGTGCAGGTTGGAACTATTTTTCCACGGAGAATCATAAGACCTTTCCCTTCCCAACTGTCTAGGATCCGTGCTGTGTCCCCACACTTCGATGACATGCACAGTAATACAGCTTCCACCATCAACTTTGTCATCTCCCAGGTAGCCAGTGGTGACATAAATACTAGTATCCAGGCTCTGGCACAGGTAAGTGGAACTTTTAGTTGGCAGGCTACACTGGATTGAGCTAAGGCCAGTAGTCTGCGAGAGTGATGAGTTGCACACTGGTGGTGTTGCCATGTCAGGTGATGTGGTCACCACTCAGAATCTCCCTGATGACAAAGCCAAGTGCACAGGGGCCATCTGACTCGCTAATTCCATAACAGTTTTCCATCAGACAGAACGTAGGACGTGTTCTGTAGGTGGGAACTTGTACTAGATCATCATCCATATAGACTCCAGCTCTGAGCTGGTGATGGCTGTCAGTGATGATGAGATGGTGATGGTGTCTTAAGACTCTTCCTATTTCAACTTTGCTTTTATCCTGATACCCGTTCAGGTTACTGGATGACTCACCTCCATGTTGTGCCGGCGAGGGTTAGTTTTTGATGAAACTGCCTTGCATATCCCAAGTGTAGGAGTTGCATGCCCTGACTCATAACCCTTGAACCATTCTGTTAGGGAGCGCCATGCCCAGAAAACTACACAAGACCAATAATTACAAAATTCATAATATAAGCTCTTGCTCACTCAAAATTCTGCACAGTTCTATGAGTATAGGATACAAGTCATAGCTAAGCAAGGGATCACTAATGCCACTGAATGTACTGGGATTAGTTGTAGAAGTGCAAAGTCACTAATTTTTAGATGAAGTTTTAGAAAGCAGATGTCTTAACTAATGGAATAGTAAGTGTGGGGAAAGCTAAGTTAAACATTGTTCCTGTACTGTTTGCAGAGGATCAACTTTA